GCAAAAACAAAAACTAAAATCACTCTGAGCAATTTCTCTGTCCTCTTTTGCATAAAAAGCTTCAGCTCACTTCAGAAAATCACAACACAGCCAAAGTGTTTTAACAGTAAAAACACTGGAGATATTTTGTAATAAGGAATCTCCTCACCTTATCAGTTGTTTCGGCCGCAGGCTGTGGAGCTTTTTCCATCGGTGGCTCTGTTGTTTTGCTTCCAGGTCACGGGCGGAAACACCAATTTGTTAAAGTGAGAAGGATTTGTCCCCTTCAAAGTAAAGGCTGTAACGCCCCGGGGCCTCCTCACACGGTTCTTTTCCTGGGAGCAAGTTATTTACTACTCTTAACTCAAACTCGTTCAAACCATATAAAAAAGGACTATAAAAACAGGAGTAAAAAAGTAACAGAGTTTATTCTAGATCAGGTCGTTACAGGACAGAGAAAAATGCTTAGAGCTATGCACAGCTGTGGTCTCAAAAATCACGTCCGCAAGCGTCCGGCAAAGTTTGAGCCCCGAACAAGGTCATCACCTGCTTCTTATACCTTGTGAGTCTATGTGTTGCATCATGTGGATGCTTAGCTGTCCGTATCAGAAACTGACACGCCATCCATGTCTTGAACTCCATGCAGGTTGCCTCTCTGTCTCAGGGTTACAGATACAGCAGCTCTCCTATCAGACCGGCTCCAAGATGTGCCCATATCCTTTGTACTCTTAGAGACACAAAGGCTGTCTTGATTAGATGACCTCCGCACACACCGTGATATCCACAATGTGAAGGAAGGCCTTCTGCTCTGTCTAATCTGACAAACAAATTAACAGTGCACCTGATGTATAAATAATAAACCTAACAATATGCACCAGCGCCTCCTGATCCCACTGAGGGATAAGGTTAAAGAAAATGGATGGTTGAACATAGTCCGCTCTCCCAGATTCTATCAAATCAGTATTGATACCCTCAGGGGCGGATTCAGGAAATTTGGGGCCCTAGGCAAAGACAGGCAAGGGGCCCCCTGAGAAGAAAACCCATAAAACAGACCCATTCTACAGATAGAGAAATGTTAATAGACATCCATTATTTGTTCTAGGTTTTGTCCCTCTCTTCTTGTCCCTTTTTCCTCTCTATTTATCAGCGTTCTGATGGCATTTTAGCCAAAGGATTTTTATCAAAAACATAATTAATGTGCACAAATAAGGATTAGTTGTATTAACCATACATGGAAACAGAGTTTTATGGGGCCCCCAGGAACTTGGGGCCCTAGGCAACTGCCTAGTATTGCCTGATGGTAAATCCCCCCCTGGATACCCTGCTGGTGGATGTTCTTGACAGAAAGATGGAGTTGCTTAATCATATTCTGCTTAAGGCCCATAAGATCTTGTCCGAGTCCTGGTTTAAAAGTAAATTAATTTTGAAAAGTGACCTAAAATTGACTGTCAATAAATGTTCTACAAAATTGATATATTTATTTGATTTCTTTGATTTCTACTGTCTGTTTAGATTTATGTGATATTTTTTGCACAAAATATATAAGTGAATATTGTAACAGTTATGTTTTCAACTGTTAAATTGATAAATGTTATTCGCATTTTTTTGGCTTTATCCTTTACAACAAAAAAAAAAGGCGTCGCGCAGGTAGCTCCCTTTCCTTATGAGCCGTCCCCACCAACTTTCAACACAAAGTTACACCCTTGTAAATATATATATATATATATATGTATATATATATATGTATATATGTATAAAATCAAAACATTCTAGTGTGCACACAAATTCAGTAAGTGGCACTCTTTGCACTACAGAATTCCAAACAATAATTTTCGAACAATATGCATATTCAATAAATATAAAGTTCCATATAAATTACATTCATGAAAAATCCAATTGATATGCACTATATAAATTAGTTAACATGAAATGTAAAAAAAACTACTAATACAAAGAAGTGCTCAATAAATATTCAAGGAACCTCATGGTTCACATATGGGTTCTTCAAAGCTAGTCTGGGCATCTGTTTGTATAATCAGAATTAAGCAGCTACACAACAAACAAAGACATCAATGAGCTAACATTAAGCCACACAGGAGAAACACTCACCAATTCCGTAGTTGTATGTCACACAAACAGGTTTTTTTTTTTATTTCATCTCGGCTAAGTAGTTAGCTCCTGCAGCTCTGCTTCTCCTAACATGCCATAATCTTTCATACTTCCTCACTCCAACTAATATACCTAGCTGATAAGGCTGTTGTACATCTGACCCTGATACTCAAAATTCACAGAATGATGACTGGGATCTTTCTCCATTATCTAAATATGTAACTGGAAAATCACTGGGATTTACACCCGGGTTACACATAGGAAGACGTTACTTGGATATAATAAAACCGAATACCTCCGGAACAGCTTGAAATGACACAAAACTAATATGGGTGAGTAGAACATGATGTACTAACGTAAAATCGAAGGCCCAATGTAAAAAATAAACAATGTTCCCCTTTAAATAACAAAATATTTTATGGAGCTTATCTACAAACAGCAATTAGGCGATTTATTTTTTAAATTAAAATTAATATTTAAAAAATTGCATGATTTAACTAACTTTTTGAATGGACTGTGGAGATGGTGGCACCTTATATCTCTAGATGGGTCCCTTTCCATTAATAGGCTTAAGTGCAGCTGCAAAGAAAGAATCAACATTCTTCCCATTTTGACAGATGAACAAAATAAGAGATGGTCTTTGATCTTTTCACAGTCTAACTCTCTCACATTTAAATAGTGCTATATTTAACATAAACAGGAAAAATCAGCTGTTTAGCCTACTCTTCAAGCCCCAATCCTCCCAAAACAACACCAGAATCAAATAAGTTCTCTATAGGATTGCCCAACAGTAAAATAAGTTATCTTTGTATAAATCTGTTTAATCAGATCTTAATGTCTTTCCATAAATAATTAATGAAAATTTGTTTGGCAAAATATCCTTATCAGCACATTAATATTGGTGTTGCCATGGCATTTAACTAAAACTGTGTGCCTTAAACAAAGTTAGACCAACATGTTTTATGCCTGATGTCTGATGAACAAAATGGCCGAATTCCTGTGGGGGTTTAGGGCATACATCCAAGGTTTTTTGTTAATGATTTTAAAAGGGATGCACGATATTGGGATTTTGGCCAATATCCGATATGCCGATATTTTAAAACTCATGTAGCCGATAACCGATATCGATACCGATGTTAAAGCTGGACAAAAATAAGTAGCCATTGAACATAGCAGTTTTGTTATCCGTTTCTGACACTTTGAAAAATAATATACTCAAATATATTTTTATATGCTGATATCAAATTTATATTTAAAAACGCGGTATCGATCTATTTTACTTTCAAAATCTCGTGAAATTTCATTGTTCTGTTACAAACTCTCGTGATATTTTGCAAATTCTTGTGAGATTTTAATTAGGCCCGAGCAGTGAAGCTCTGCAAAGGCTTATTGTAATTGGAATGTTTATTTATATTTATTTTCTACAAAATGAATTGCTTATATGGAGGCTTTAACATATTCAAAAACTCATCAAACTTTACAGAAAAATGTTCCCCCATGTGAAATGTACTTAGTTTAGTGGAATCGAAAATGGGTGCCTTCAAACAGCTCAACGACGCCCCCTAAAGTGAGATGGATAAAAACCATAAATTGCAGAGATTTGACCACCCCACCGATATTTAACCCGATATTTGATCAGCTTCTGAGTTTCTAAAGTTTCTAAAAAAAAAAAAAATACTAATTCTTCTTTTTCCTCAAAAACTTCTTTTTTACAGACTTAAAAACTTCTAAAGATGAGGGAAAAAATATTGATACATTAAAATATTCCAATATCTTCATATGCTGATATATTGCCATTTAAAAAAAACACATCAATCTCTTTTACTAATGAAATATTGCTATATGTCATCGTTATGCTACGAAATCCCCCGAAAATTCACGAAATTTTGCCATATTTTTATATGTTGATATATTGACGCGGTATCCATCTATTTTACTAACAAAATCTCACAAGAATTTGCTAAATATCACGAGAGTTTGTAACAGAACGATGAAATTTCACGAGATTTTGAAAGTAAAATAGATCGATAAAATATATTTGAGTATATTATTTTCAAAGTGTCAGAAATGGATAACAAAACTGCTATTTTCAATGACTAATTATTTTTGTCCAGCTTTAACATCGGTATCGATATCGGTTATTGGCTACATGAGTTTTAAAATATCGGCATATCGGATATCGGTCAAAATCCCAATATCGTGCATCCCTAGTTTCTTTGGTGAAAAGTAACATTTTGAAGCCTGGCCACACTCACATGCTTTCATGCCGAAAAAAATCATATAAGTTTTGAATCACAAAGCATTAAGTCTTTGCATCGTCAGTCTGAAGTCTGTAACTCAAGAGCTCTAGGAAGACTTTCCTCAGATATGACATAAGGGAACGGCAACCAAGTTGTGGCTTTGTTTCAAAATGGCAGACTTCCTGTGGGGTTTGTACAATAGTTCCTGGATACTTATTTTTTTGCTCGTGGGTGGGTTACATGTGTTCCATATTTGATAATTTGATAATCCTCAGAAAAAGTATGGTCTGGGGCTGCTTTTGTTTTTAATGGCAAGAAGTCCAATTTTGATAATTGGGCTTTTCCCTCGTGTATTGATGCAGAAAAGCATGTGGGTTGGTCCTAACAATCTGCCTCAGAATCCGCCTCACTGTGACATAAGACCAAAGATTAAGCACAACAGTTGAAGATTCCCCCAAGATCTTTGTGTAGAAATCTTTATGTATACCAGATATTAGAATTCTGATATTCAGTATTAAGTGACATTAACAAAACACATTTTAACACGAATACTAAGATTTCTTTTCATATGGTTGATAGCAAATTAAAACTGATTTATCTGTTTTACTGTCTGGATTCTCTCATGTTTTTGTCTATTTTTTTCTGATTTTTATCTTACTTCATTTCTTCCAGGAATGGAATGAAAGGAGACCCTGGCTGCTTTGACACACCTGAAGAAATAGTCCGGACAAAACACAGTCCATACTGGAGGAAAGAAATTGATCAAAACCATTGAAAAAAGCTCTGACCCACCAACCAGGTGATCTGGAATGATCACGATCTTGATTTATTATTCCCAACACTGACCAAGTTAGCAATGAGTGCGCATATATAATGGCCAAGAATAAGGATGCACGTTCCCTGACATTTTCAGTCAGTGTGGTTGGCCTCTCTGGGACAGAAAAAGAGAAGGGCAATTGTGGGGTTGGCAAGTCCTGCCTATGCAATCGGTATGTGCGTCCAGATGCAGACAACTACTACTCAGAGCACACCTCAGTGCTTAGTACAATAGATTTTGGTGGACGTGTTGTCAACAATGACCACTTCCTGTACTGGGGGGAAGTGAACATTCGCGGGGAGGAGGGTTTGGACTGTAAGATCCAAGTCATTGAACAGACTGAGTTCATTGATGATCAAACGTTTCTTCCACATCGAAGTACCAATCTACAGCCATATACCAAACGTGCTGCAGCAACTAAGCTCCAGTCAGCAGAGAAACTCATGTACATCTGCACAGACCAGCTAGGCTTGGAGCAAGACTTTGACCAGAGGCAGATGCCTGATGGGAAACTGAGCATTGATGGCTTCGTTCTCTGTGTTGATGTTAGCAAGGGTTGTAATAGGAAATTTGATGACCAAATGAAGTTTATTAGCAGCCTTTACTCACAAATCGTTAAGTCAAAAAAACCCATTGTTGTTGCAGCATCAAAATGTGATGAATGTGTCGACCAGCACTTGAGGGAACTACAGACCTTTGTTGCCACCAAGAAAAACCTGATCTTAATTGAGACATCTGCTCGTTTTAATGTCAATATAGAGCACTGCTTCAATGCTCTTATTCAGCAGATTGATAAAACAAAAGGAAAGCCTAAAACTATACCATACCTGGATGCCTATAAAATCCAACGACAGCTTGTTGCCTCTGTAACAGACAGGTTTGAAAGGCTCATGGTACAAACAGTGAGAGACTATCATATCACGTGGAAAACAGTCGCAAATAACTTGAAGGGTCAACCAGACTATGATGAGTTCATCACCTTGGAGGGATCCCGAAAAGCTTGCAACATGTTCACAAAGCATATTGCACAACTGAAGCAGGAGCATATTAAACGCAGACGAGAAGAGTACTTGGTAACACTTCCAAAAACCCTTAACAATATTTTCTGCAGTCTTGAGGAAGTTGAACACCTCTCATGGCCTGAAGCACAGAGTATAATACGCAACCGCAGTGATTTCCAGTGTTGGTTTGTGATGCTTGATCACACACCTTGGGATGAGACGGACCACATTGATAATAATGATCGCAGAATACCCTTCGACCTCCTCAATACACCTGATGGGGAGAGAATTTACTATGCTCATGTCCAGCATCTAATATCTGAGAAAAGAAGGGTGGAGATGAAAGATAGGTTCAAGAAGACTCTGGAAAGGGTTCATTTTATCAGTCCAGGGCAAGCTTGGGAGGAAGTCATGTGTTTTGTCATGGAAGATGAAGCCTACAAGTACATCACTGAATCTGACAGAAAGGATGTTTACTGTAAGCACCAGCAAGACATAGTTGAAAAGGCTAAAGAGGATTTTCAGGAGATGCTGTTTGAGCATGCTGAGCTTTTTTATGACTTGGACCTGAATGCAACTCCAAGTTGTGACAAGATGACAGAAATTCACAGTGTGCTTAATGAGGAGCCCAGATACAGAGCATTGCAGAAACTTGCCCCAGATAGAGAGTCCCTTCTCTTAAAACACATTGGCTTTGTCTACCATCCCACTAAGGAAACATGTTTAAGCGGACAGAACTGCGTAGATCTGAAAGTAGAGCAGGTTTTGGCTAACAGACTGGCACAGGTAGAACATGGACGCTCAAATCTCTACTATAGCAGTGCCAATATTGAAAAGATTAACCTTTGTCTTCTTGGAAAAGATGGTCTTTCGCAGGAGCTAGCAAATGAGATCCGAGCTCAGTCCACAGATGATGAGTACACAGTTGATGGTAAAATTTATGAGCTTGAGCTTCTTCCTGTGGATGTCAACTCAACTCTGCTTTTCAGTCACACATGGGCAGCCACTTTCAAGCCTCATGGCTGCTTTTGTGTTTTCAACTCCATGGAGTCTCTTAACTGCATTGGCGATTGCATTGGAAGGATCAGAGCTGAGATACCACAGAATCGACGAGATCAATTTGGCCTGCCGCTTCCTTTTATACTAATTCTATCCAGTCAGAGAGACAGTGTTTGTAAAAACATACCCATTCTGAGGCACCAAGGCCAACAGCTTGCAAACAAGTTGCAGTGCACCTTTGTAGATGGTCCTTCTGGAGTTTTTCCTCGAAAATTCACAGAGTTCCAGATTAAGCAGGGGTTGAGAGCAGTGCTGGAGAATATGAAGCATAACTTTGATGTCTTGGCACCCCTTCCCTGTATAAAAGACATGGCTGAGACGGACCTTAGAATAGTCATGTCTGCTATGTGCTGGGATCCTTTTAGTGTTGATCTTATTCTCTCACCTTTCTTAGATTCCCATTGCTGTAGTGCTGGACAGCCAGGCCAAAGCAATACCCTCATACTTGACAAGATTATTGGGGAAGGCCGAAAAAGGATTCAAGTCACAATACTTTCATACCACTCTGCTATTGGTGTCCGCAAAGATGAACTTGTGCACGGCTATATTCTGGTCTACTCTGCCAAACGTAAGGCATCAATGGCAACCCTTCGGGCGTTCTTGGCTGAAGTCCAAGATGTGATCCCTGTCCAGATGGTGGCAATTACAGATAGCCAGGCTGACTTCTTTGAGAATGATGCCATTAAAGAACTGATGACTGAAGGGGAGCACATTGCCACAGAGATTGCTGCCAAATTTACAGCACTCTATTCTCTGTCACAGTATCACCGCCAGACAGAAGTTTTTACACCCTTTTTCAATGAGGTGTTAGAAAAAAAGCCAAACATTGAAAAGGCCTTTCTGCTTGATAGCTCCTCGCGTGACTGCACCTCTGGAGCCAGTGAAGATGTTTTCCCCACATCACCCCATAGCAATTTGCCAGCTTACAACACCTATTATCTTGAATCTGATGATGACAATGAGGCTCCTCCACCTTACAGTCCAATTGGTGATGATGTTCAACTTCTCCCCACACCCAGTGAGCGGGCAAAGTACAGGATTGACCTAGAAGGAAATGAGTACCCTGTTCATAGCACTCCTACCGGAGACCAAGACCGCAACCACAAAGTGCCCCCACCAGTCAGGCCTAAACCTGTGCACCCTAAGCCTAATGTGAAAAAGCTTGACCCAAACCTGCTTAAAACTATTGAGGCCGGCATGCGGAGCAATCGCAGGGTGCCTCGTAGCCAAGTTCCTTATACTGAAGATGTGGAAGCTTCAGATAACTATGCAGAACCTGCTGACACTCTGGTTAGATCGAGAGCCTTTCACAACGATGAAATCTATGTTGTGCCTGAAGACACACACAGCCGTCTAGTGAAAATGAAAAACTCTTTTGGTCATAGCCTTCATTCAGCAGGAGATGAAGAAAACGGATTTGATCGAAAGTCTCAGGCTGTGAGGCGCCCCTCTAAATACAAGCATCGTTCTAAGATCCTGATCAGCAAAACAAAGGCCTATCAAAGACGTTTCCACTCTGACAGTGATGGGGAGGACTTTTGCCCTGCCACACAGAAAAAGAAAAAAGGAAGAGCACACAGAGGCAGTGAGGAGGACCCACTACTCTCCCCAGCTGACCAATGGAAGATTGGTATAGATAATCCTGCAATCACATCTGACCCTGAGCAGGAAGATAAGAAAATGAAAAAGAAGAAAACATCTAAAATGCCAAAGGACCAAAAAAAGGTGAGTCTTCTATATTGTGGAGTTTGTATGATGTCATCCGCGCGCGCCAGCTACCATTCGTTCATTCTGTCTGCTTAACTGCTGCTAGTTTTACTCATATGCCTGGAAGATGTCTAGTGCTAATACCACAGATGATCTCGCTCTCGAAATGGAATTGAACAATTCAGATTAGCTAGCCGAATGAATATAAGGGGTAGAGCGTAGCTGCCTGTTGCCCAGGCTGCCTGTCACAACTGCAGTCCAGCGCGCGGATGACGTCATACAGACTCCGCTTTGTTTAAAAAAAATATATAACCACGGATGTCTGGGGGACAGTGATTTGCCTACATGTTATGAATGCTGGTGTACCATAAAGAACAAATTATGAACAGTTTAGTTTTTGCCTTCAACTCGTTGCCCATAGGAAAACGTTACTTGGATATAACAAAACCGAATATCTGCGGAACAGCTCCAAATGACATAAAACTAATATGGGTGAGTAAAACATGATGTGATAACGTAAAATCCAGGGGCCAATGTAAAAAAAGACGGTGTTCCCCTTTAACGACCAGCACCAAATACCCTATATAATCATTTTATTACCCCTTTAAATGTTGGTGGTGATCCACATCATGATCCAGTGTAGAAATTTCTTACAGGATTCTTTAACATTATTTAGTGTTGCAAAGAGTGGCAGCAGTGAATATTGACAGCTTCAGCATTAGACTCAAATAGGGTGCAAAAGTATTATACCGAAGACAAAAACACAAGAAAGGTGAGGCATGCCTCTCTCTTAATCTCAATCTGCTGATCAATCAAGGTGGCAGAGCGAATGAAGAAGGTAAGAGCAGGACAAAGACCAGAGGCTACAAAAATACGCTGTGCTTTATGTATAAACGTATGAAAGGATTTTAAGGAAATTAGCAAAGGAAGTTACCATAGGTGCACCTCATTCCAAAGAACAATTAATTAAAATTTGGTAATGACCCCAGTCATGTGTATAGTTTTAACTATAGGTGTAGGTAACAATATGGGACAAAATGTGCGGCTTTACGGAGCCTGCGCCCTCAGAGTGCTCTTCTAGTATTACCTTAATTGCTTATCCCTTTCATTATGGAAACATCCAGCAAATTAGAAATATATCAAAAGAGAGATCGTTAAATCTCAAACATCTATACTCATGTATGAGTATAAGTGTTGGGACTAATACATTATTAACACATTGCAGTAACTACTTTACCTTTGCAGTAACTAGCACTGTAACTAATTAGTTTGTAAAAGTAAGGAGTTATTCATCATTACACTTTAAACAGATTTGTTATCCATTAAGTAACATGTATAAATAAGGACTACACCAGGAAGTGGCGGCCTAGATGGTAGGGCATAGAGCTTGGAATCCTAAGTTTGTGTGTTTAAAACCCACTCCCCCACACTGCCACTCTGGCACTCTAAGCAAGACCCATATCCCCCGATTGCTCCCCGGGCGCTGTCCGATGGCAACCCGCCGCTCCCCAAGGGAATGGGTTAAATGCAGAGGTAAATTTCTCCAATGTGAGATCAACAAAGTTAAATTATTGTTATTATTACAGTTTCTTGGTTTAAGCGTACATAACAGCCACATGCACATGTAAATGTATGTGGCGCACGAAACAGTGAGGCACAACTTCAGCATGAGCACAGAGAAGAGACGATGATTCAGTTACAGCGTTCCCACAAAAACTGTGCTTCTCTGAAGGCTGAATGTTTCTGTGCTTTGCAGAGACTTTATAAATGTGTAATTTTCAGTGAAATCTAATAGCCAGACTGTAGCTGACAGTGATATGATATTGATCATTGATTGACTTTATTGATCTAAAAATGGAGAAATATACTTGTTACATCAGTTCAAACAGTCAAAAGAGAAGAAGAAGGTGCCAAAGGAAGAAAAAGGTGCATGGGTTATATACAGTATATACAATGCTTCCACATATGGCCGCTTTCATTTATTTATTTATTTATTTATTTATAGCAGAAATATTATACAGGGTCATTGCACAGGGTGTTTACATGTATATGGAGTGATATGAGTAACTCGAAAGTAATCCAAATTCTTCCACATTCTGAAGCAGATTGCTTTGTCTAGTAACAAGGTACTTTCATTGGGAAATAATGGCATTACTAACACAGATACTTTTTGGAGAAGTAACTATGACTTGTTACTTTTCAAAGTCATGTTTCCAACACTCATGAGTGCGTATGCATTTTTATAGCTTTGCTACCTCTGTTGCAGATGAACTTGGTAAGTAATTTTTTTGCACAACTGAGTGCTACACATTATCCTTATGGCTTGCCAGGTTAGAAGTTTATACCCTCATGGATTAATCAGTGTTGAAAGTGTGTTTTTGAGAAAAAAAAATACATGGATAAAAAAGAGAAAACAAAATGGAATGGAATAGACAACGTTGTGCAAATCAGTATAGAATCATCCTATGTCAGTAAATGAGTCATGACTGCATCGGTGATGCTGTTGAATAAACAGTTAAGAAGAACAAGAGGCTATTGTTGGAACATGTTTATTGACTGGCTCGGCGTTTTAGAGCAAGTAGATACATCTGCTAAAGAAAAGTATCAGTGTGGAGGTGAGTTGGAACCTACTTTAACCAAGAAACATAGCTTTTGATAATTGTGTCTTTATGGGCATTTCTTTCCTCAATCTTTTTGCCATTTTTCTGTTTTTGTACTAGATCAAAAAAACCTAACTGAATTGATATTATTATCAGTGGGTATTTTTATTTCTAGTTTTTTGAGTTCTTTCCTATTTCTTATAAAATAAACTTTATTTTGTGAACAATCAGCAGAATGTGATTTATTTTTTTATACGTTAGTATAATCTTTTGATACAGCCCTAATCTCAACGACATTTTTCTGTTTCTTCATCTTTCATTTCATCTACCACAGGTTCTCAATTTTCTTCAAAGGTCCTGAATATAAAAATATATGTCCTTTCCTCAACTCCTTTCCTTTCTTTCTTATGAATATTCACTAATTTCTTTTCTTTTGTTTTCTCCTTCTCCTTACTTCTTTGTTCCAGTTAGTGTTAAATATATTGTTTTAGTGTTGCTTTGCAATTTTTATTCTTTCCACCTGCTTGGCTTTAAATAGCTTTTAACTGTCTCATCTTTCTTTTACTTCTAGCCCAAATCGACCAAGCCCCCAAAGCCACTTTACCCACCCACTCGGAGAACCTGGGATAGTAACTACTTTGGCGTTCCACTGCAGAATCTGGTGACTCCAGAGCATCACATCCCTCTCTTTGTTGAAAAATGTGTTGACTACATAGAACGCACAGGTCAGCTATTATTTTTTTTTTTATGATTTCTTTCTTTCAAATAATTTTTTCACGTACCTAAAATATGCCATTGGTTTCAGTCAATCAAGATTTATTTATTAGTAAACTATTTTAAATATTGGATCAACATTTTACTAATTATTCCCTTGGGGGAATAATTAGTAAAAAAAAAAAAACATCCAATGTGGGAATTAACTACTTGAGTGAAACAAGAACCCCTGTTTTCACCTGATAATAATGTAGTGGTTATAGATCAAAGTTTCATAGAAGAAGAGGCATACAAGTACATCACTGAATCTGACAGAAATTATGTTTACTGCAAGCACCTGAAAGAAATTGTTAAAAAGGCTAAAGAGGATTTTCAGCAGATCTATGCTGTTTGAAACATGCTGAGCTTTTTTATGTATCAATGACAGAAATTCACAATCTGTCACAAAATGTAATCAAATTCCAGGTAAAGAGGAAACCAGACATGATGGCAACTTAAACTCTCTGGGACATTGTTTTATTTTCGTCTTTTTGATCTATAAAAGACTGAATAATTCAATTGGGATTTTTAAATGTTTTGTAAAGAAGTCCTCATCTATGACTTGTTCTTTCTACTAGAGCTTAGAAAAAGTTAGCTTTTCCTGTCTTACCTCAGAAAGCAATATTTAAATCACACATTTATTTTTTAGTTCTAATTGAGATATCTTGTTAAATATTCTTGAAGTATTTTTTTTCCTGTCACAGTTATAAAATAGTTCAGTGGTTCTATCCTTAGTTTTTAAGTTCTCAGAAAACTCAAGATCAATTCTTATATTTTGTCAAAAGGTTGGCAATTTTATCTTTAATAGCACAATTAAAGAATATTCAATCTGTGTCCAATATACACAGAATGTTTAATTTATTCCTATACAAAGTGTCGACAGGTCTTATGCATGAAATATACATGTGAATATAATCAAATGTAGTATGGTTTTCTACCTAACTTAAGAGTAAGAATCCGTTTTGAAATGCACACTTTTTATTACTACTACACAAACTTTATAGCCTGACGTAGTCCGACTCAATTCTAGTCAGAATATGAGTCTGATACTGCTCCATAGAGCTGTGATTATGGGGCGTGTTTTGAACGAACCAGGAAAAAAAATGCCTCTGCACTCAATTGGACAGACGTACAACCAATAAGAGCAACGGAGTGCGTGACGTATCTTAAGCGAGGCATAGTTGTTGTCCACAAAAATCAAAGCGTGCAGTTTCACGCCTAGAATAAAAAGATGAGACTTGACCGCGTTTCTCTGTTCCTCTTTTAAAATTAATTTGCTGTCGATATCTTCTAGAACAGACCTAATAGCAGAATCTACTCACCCAAACTCTCCAGCGGCAGCCATTATTGTTGTCACCCAAGCGCGCATTGGTCACGTGGTTGATAACGTTACTCTTGATCATCTGTCCATCATCGTATAAAGCCCGCCCTGACAATTTGATTGGATCGCCTGACAGTGGGCTTTAATACTCGCGCTACTATGGAGCAGAGCCAGACCGAACTTCCCCGAACTCAAACCTTGTGGGCGGGACTAAGTTCGGACTGGCACCCAGGCTACAAACTTTATCTCGCCAGGCAAAACATTTGCAACAATTTTTTCTATATAATGTCACAATACAAATATTGGCAATCTTTTTGTTCTGATTCAGTTTACCACTAAATTCTAAATTTGCCCATTTGCTTAAAAAAAACAAACAGTTTTAATAATTTTTAAATACCAGTGTGTATCTGGTGTAGTTAGCCCTTTTTTATAGTTAACTACAGTGATGGGCAGTAGTGCCGCTACATGAAGCGAAGCTATTAGTTTAACTAGATGTTCCAGTAGCTTGACCGTAGCGTCGCTGCTTTATTTATCAAGTAACTTTCCTGTAGTGACGTTATTGCTTTGATCAAGTAGCGAGGTAGCGTCCACAAACGCTACAAAATCCAGGGCATAACTAAGAAATGAGACCAGGTTTTCTATTTTGAAACAACAATCAGCCACAAAACTACTGTAAATAGCAGTTTCAGCTGATGCTCTTACAAATGGCGTAGTAGCACAGGCACACTCAGTAGGGTTAAACAAGCGCACCCTCCCGGAGGCTGTCGTTCTATTGGCTGGAAAGGTTGCTAGGTGACGATCCAACCGCAATCCGAAAGATAGCAAAAAAAATCTGCAAGCAGAGCCTACGGGTTTGCGAGCGTATCTGAGACTCGAGCAGAGTTTGTGCGCGATGAGGAGGCAAGCAAGAGGAGAAAATATCTGTGCAATAAGCATTAAATCTGAGAGAAGAAACAAAGATTTGAGAGAGAAAAGAAAATATTTGAGAGAGCGCATGTTTTGAGTGTGAGCATTATAAGTTTTGAGTGCAAGAAGATGAAATTCGTACTCGTACTCGTCGTCTCCAGCTTTATCCGGAACAGGGTCGCGGGGGCAGCAGACTAAGCAGAGACTCCCAGAATTCCCTCTCCACAGACACCTCCTCCAGCTCTGTTGGGGGAAGCCCTAGGCGGTTCCAGGCCAGCCGAGAGACATAGTCTCTCCAGCGTGTCCTGTGTCGTCCCTTGGGCCTCCTCCTGGTGGGACGTGCCTGGAACACCTCCCGAGGGAGGCGTCCAGGGGGCATCCGGAGAAGATGTCCGAGCCACCTCAACTGACTCCTCTCGATGTGGAGGAGAACCGGCTCTACACTGAGCCTCTCCCAAATGACCGAGCTCCTCACCCTATATCTAAGGGAGAGCCCAGCCACCCTGTGGAGAAAGCTCATTTCAGCCGCTTGTATCCGGGATCTCGTTCTTTCGGTCATGATCCAGATTTCATGACCATAGGTGAGGGTAGGAACGTAGACCGACCGGTAAATTGAGAGCTTTGCCTTTTCGGTCAGCGCTCTCTTCACCACGACAGACCGGTGAGCGTCCGCATTATTGCAGCAGCCGCACCGATCTGTCTATCGATCTCCCGCTCCATTCTTCCCTCACTCGTGAACAGGACCCCAAGATACTTGAACTCCTCCACTTGAGGCAAGGACTCTCCTCCAACCTGAAGGGGACAAGCCACCTTTTTCCGGTCGAGAACCATGGCCTCGGATTTGAAGGAGCTGATTCTCATCCCGGCCGCTTCACACTCGGCTGCGGACCGCCCCAGCGCACGCTGTAGGTCTTGGCAGGAGGGAGCCAGCAGAACTATGTCATCCGCAAAGAGCAGGGACGAGATCCGCTGTTCCCCAAACCAGACCCCCTCCGGTCCTTGGCTGCGCCTAGAAATCCTGTCCATAAAAGTTATGAACAGGACCGGTGACAGAGGGCAGCCCTGACGGAGTCCAACATGCACTGGGAACAGGTCCGACTTAATGCCGGCAATGCGAACCAGACTTCTGCTCCGCTTGTACAGAGAACGGATGGCCCCTAATAAAGGGCCCCCGACTCCATACTCCTGGAGCACCCCCCACAGGGCAGCATGAGGGACACGGTCGAATGCTTTCTCCAAGTCCACAAAACACATGTGGACTGGTTGGGCAAACTCCCATGAACCCTCAAGCACCCTGCAGAGGGTGTAGAGCTGGTCCACCGTTCCACGGCCAGGACGAAAACCACACTGCTCCTCCTGCAGCCGAGGTTCGACAATCAGCCGGACTCTCCTCTCCAGCACCCTGGCATAGGCCTTTCCGGGGAGGCTGAGAAGTGTGATTCCCCGATAGTTGGAACACACCCTCCGGTCCCCCTTCTTGTGGAGGGGAACCACCACCCCAGTCTGCCAATCCAGGGGGACTGTCCCGGACCTCCACGCGATGTTGAAGAGACGTGTCAACCATGACAGCCCGACAACATCCAGAGCTCTGAGATACTCAGGACGGATCTCGTTCACCCCCGAAGCCTTGCCACTGTGGAGTTTTTTGACCACCTCGGTGACTTCAGCCTGGGTGATGAACGAATCCAGCCCCAAGCACCTCGTCTCTTCTTCCCCCACGGAAGGCGTGTCTGTCGGGTTGAGGAGATCCTCAAAGTATTCCTTCCACCGCCCGACAATATCCTCCTTCAAGGTCAGCAGCTCCCCACTCCCACTGAAAACAGTGTTAGTGAAGCACTGCTTTCCCCTCCGGAGGCGCTGGACGGTTTGCCAGAATCGCTTTGAGGCCAACCGATAGTCTTTTTCCATGGCCTCTCCGAACTCCTCCCAGGCCCGAGATTTTGCCTCTGCAACCGCCCGGGCCGCGACACGCTTGGCCTCACGGTACCTGCTTGCTGCTTCAGGAGTCCCACAAGCCAGCCAGGCTCGATAGGACTCCTTCTTCAGCTTGACAGCATCCCTTACTATCGGTGTCCACCACCGAGTTCGGGGATTGCCACCACGACAGGCACCGCAAACCTTACAGCCACAGCTACGGGCAGCTGCATCGACAATAGCGGCAGAGAACACAGCCCATTCCGACTCCATGTCCAACCTCCCTTGGAACCTGAGAGAAGCTCTCCCGGAGGTGGGAGTTGAACACGTCCCTGACAGAGGGCTCCACCAGACGTTCCCAGCAGACCCTCACTACACGTTTGGGCCTGCCGAGTCTTTCAGGCTTCCTCCTCTTCCAGCGTATCCAGCTCACCACCAGGTGGTGGTCGGTGGACAGCTCCGCCCCTCTCTTCACCCGAGTGTCCAAGACATGCGGCAGAAGATCAGAAGATACGACTACAAAGTCGATCATCGAACTTCGGCCTAGGGTGTCCTGGTGCCAAGTTCACCGATGGACATCCTTATGCCTGAACATGGTGTTCATTGTGGACAATCCGTGACTTGCACAGAAGTCCAATAATGAGACACCACTCGGGTTCAGAGCTGGGGGCCCGTTCCTCCCGATCACGCCCCTCCAGGTGTCACTGTCGTTTCCCACGTGGGCGTTGAAGTCTCCCAGCAGAATGATGGAATCCCCGGGAGGGGCGCTTTCTAACACCCTCCCCATGGATGCTAAGAAGGCCTGGTACTCCGTACTGCCGTTCGGCCCAT